CTATTAATCAACTAGAGGAAATGGTCCCCTCAAAACAAAGTCATTTAATGAAATAGAATTTTGTTTAAAAAGTAGCAGCAGAACATTTACTCCCCTAATACTACAGTCAAGACCAAAGTTCAAATCCAGCCTCAGATACTTACTACCTTTGTGACCCTGGGTAAGTCATTTAACCTCTGTTTGCCTCAGTTTCCTCATCAATTAAATGGAGATAACAATAGCCCTTACTTCCTGGGGTTGTTGTGAGAATCAAATGAGATAATAATTGCAAAGCACTTAGCACAGTGCCTAGCACACAGTAAGTACTATATAAAAGTTAGCTATCACTATAGTATTATTATTGTTGTTATTATTATTATTATTATTATTATACACTCTCTCCATAATACATACAATGTACTATGAGAAGAGTAGACTGGTTCTGAACACTTATAGCCTATGGAGTTTTTGTCATGAGCAAAAAGCCCTGGACTTTTGGTGAAATCAAATAGTAAAAAATAAGCAGAGGCATAATTAAATCAATTAAAATCAATTAAATTAAATCAGTATGGAATGGCAGCCAGGAACACTAATACAGTATTGGGTTAAATTAAAAGACATAGCTTCCAGGAGCAAGGAAATAATAGTCCTACTCTACTCTGACTTCAAACCTTCGCTGTAGTAATGTGTTCAGCTCTGGGTCATGTTTGAAGGACATTGATAGAACTTAACTGTATCCAAAGGAGGGCAGCTAAGACGGTGAAAGGTCTTGAGGACTGATTGAAGCAACTGAGCTTGATTAGCCTAGAAAAGAAATGAACTGGCCTGCAGCTCTAATCATCTAGCAACTTTCAAAATGGTCCTCTTCCACAGCCTGTGTCTTTGAAAACTGTTTCTTCACACTGACATTTTTATCAATTTTTCATAAATAAAAATTGTTTCATTGACCCATTAAGCTATTCACACACACACACACACACACACACACAATCAATTTACATCCTTTACAAGGTGATTTGAGCCTTTGTCTTTATTCCACAATCTCTTTTCCACTACAAACCACTCACATCCCACCTGAAAGATCCTTCTTTACACTTGAATTTTAGCAGTTTTTATGAAACCAAAATCCTTTTCCTACTTTTTACTTCTTTGAAACACCAAACTGCTCATTTGGAGCAGCTAAGTGGCCCAGTAGATAGAACACTGGGCCTTGAGTCAGGAAGTCCTGAGTTCAAATCAAGCCTCAGACACTTACTAGCTATGTGACCTCGGGCAAGTCATTTCACCTCTCTTTGCCTCCGTTTTCTCATCTGTAAAATGGGAATAGCAACCACCTCTCTCCCAGGGTTGTTGCATAGATCAACTAAAGCTCTTAGCATGGTCTAAGTGTTATTTAAATGTCAGCTTTAATCATTATTATTATTATTGTTGTTATCATTATCCATGAAAAAGACAATGCCTTGTATCCTTTGCCAATTGATTGCATTCTTTTCCTTTATGTAAAAGTAAATTTCCTTTATTTTCAGGACAAAACTGCTCCATATAAAAGGGCTGTGCCTCAAAGGGATAATACTTTATGCAAAGGATGAAACAATCCCCACCCTCAAGGTAATTCATCACTCCTGATTCCACCGTTACTCTTGATTCCACTCTATGGGGCCAGACAAACAAGTTTGATGGCTCCAGAGGGGAAAGGCTGGTGACTTTGCACAGCCCTCCCTCGCTTAAATCCAATTCCCTTGCATTTCATGGCATCACCTCCCTGATGTCACGGTCCTCTTTGAGAAAGAAGGACGAACAACGTCAACAGTAACAACCACAAACTTCCATCTATGGTATTCAGCTTTGTCAACATGTACGGCAGGTTTGCCTCCTCTTCCTCTTTTCTGTTTAAACCCTCTTTGGTCATATTCACCAAATACAAGTATCCCAGGGGGACTGGCCAAGGGGAGACCTGTCCTCAGAGCGTACTCCGCTTTTTGCCAAAAGAGGGAATTGGTGAACTCATTTTTGGAAGCGTGTGATGGTGTATGATGAAGGGCTCTGCTCTCCACTTCAGAACATGAGTATATATAGCTCAAGAATATGATGAAAAAGGGGCAGCTAGGTGGTGCAGTGGATAGAGCACCGGTCCTGAAGTCAGGAGGACCTGAGTTCAAATCTGGCCTCAGACCAAAACACTTGACACTTACTAGCGGTGTGACCCTGAGCAAGTCACTTAACTCCAATTGCCTAAAAACAAAAAACAAACAAAAAAGAATATGATGAAATAGACTTTGGATTGGTGGTTGTCCTGATCTGAGTTGAGGACAACTTGGTCCTTTTTCCTTACTTGGTTTCCATCAAGGACAAACCGCTGTGGGCCTTCCTGGCAGGGGCCATGAACATTTTTTAAAAATATTTTTCTGCATGATGGAAAATGTTATCCACATCCAAAGAAAGAACTATGGAGTTTAAATGCAGATTGAAGCATACTATTTGCTATCTTTTCCTCTGTTTTGTTTTGTTTTCTCTTTCTTGTGGTTCCTCCTATTGTTTCTAATTCTTCCTTACAACATCACTAATGTGAAAATATGTTTAATAGGAACGTACATGTACAGCCTATGTCAGTTTGAGCGCCATCTTGTGGAGGGAGGCAGAGAGTGAGGGGGAGAAAAATTTAAAACTCAAAACCTTAGGGAAGTAATCGTCGATAAATTAAAATAAATAAAAAAAATTTTCTAGTTAGTTCAAAATAATTGGTTTCCTTTCTAATCCTATATATTTTGCTTTGTGCATTTAAAAACTCTATTCTGTGAAGAGATCTACAGGCTTCCCCAGACTTTAGAGGGGGTCCATGGCACAAGGAAAGGTTAAGAAACTCTGGTCTAATGGTGGTTAGGAAGATAATACCACCTGTGCTTGTCAGTTTATCATCCAAGATTTTATAAACATTGGCAACACTTTCTAGGTTCATTCTACAAATACAGTTAGTGTCCAAATAAATCACTGGAATTGGACAGTCTTTGTCTGTTTTGACAGGTCCTGAAAGATTCTCTGTGTCATCTTGAATATATGCCCAGGAAACAAGCAGACTTCTTGATTGTTATTTTCAACAAGAGGTAAACCCACAGCTGCCTCAATGCGCATCAGCAGGAAGTCACCCTGATTCTTCCCTTGCCCGGACCCTTCCTGGATGCTCTTGCACTCAATAGCTTTGATGGAACTACTATATCACCCCTTGGAGCACACGCAGATGCTTTCTCCTTAGTGAGTCCAGCCCCTTCCTCTTAAGAGAATCTGGCTCCCCATCCTTGTAGAAGAGACATTTATTTCTTAGCTCCCAGTGTTCAGCAATCCTTCTCCTCTTCCTCTAAGTCACGTTTTTTCATCTTCCAACCTTCTGACACAGGATTCACCTCTGCTTCCTCAGAGCCTTTTTTTCCCTTTATTTTCACATTAAATCTGTCTGTGGATTTTTTGGGGGGGAGGCAATTGGGGTTAAGTGACTTGCCCAGAGTTACACAGCTAGTGAGTGTTATGTGTCTGAAGCCAGATTTGAACTCAGGTCCTCCTGACTGAAGGGCCTGTGCTCTCTCCACTGCCCCACCTAACTGCCCCTCTTCTATCTTTTTAATGAACAATGCATTACCCCTGTTGTTGTTTGTCCTCTATTTTCAAACATGGTAATATCTTAAGATCGCATGAACTGGAATTAAATGAGACAGAATTACATAATCATCAGCCTCACTGTCTCTTCCAGAGCCACTGAAGTTCAGTGGCAAGACAAAAGTTGGGACAGCTGGCTATGGCCTGGAATGCAGTGGATGACCTTGGAGTCTTCAATGTCTGACCAAGCTCTAGGGGCTCCAGAGTGCCTGCTTCAGCCACCTTCGTGGCCATTGGAACAAATTGTTCTCATCCTCCCATTCTGCCTGGGGAAGTCTTCATTTACTTAGGGTACACTCCCTCCCAATTCACTGAGAGGTCTGAGGACCATCAATTACCCTCAACCTGGTTTAGCCCATCTGCTGAGACATTTTACCCAGGAGTGACAGCTGCACATGCTGTAGCTTCTTGGAACCATGAGTGACATTTGGGTGATGGTGGACACCATAGGTGGATGAACAGCCCTGAAAAGGGCTCAGGAAGCCCTCACACCAGAGGTGTTAGTCCTCCTGAGCATCCCATACCACCCTGCCCTTAATAACTTAGAGTATGGAGAAGTGTTCCTCAAGTCTCTTCAGCTTCTCCTCCAGGAGAGAGGCAAGTTCACTGCCCTTTGAGCACAGACAATAATCATTTGGCCATGGTATATGGCCATAACATAGAAACATCACAGGGTAAGTAAAGGTCCCTGAGAATTCTCCCTGTTCTCCACTTTTACTAGAAGATGGATCCATAGCCTTCATCTTTCTTGCTAGTACCTCTCCTGAAGAACTCAGCTACTCATTGGGAATTTACCTTGTTCGTTTTTAGTTTAGAGCCTCCTTTTCCACCTCCTCCTTCTTTCCACCTGTCTGTCTATCTCTCCATCAAATTAAGTAATGTCTTATCAATTCTGTTAGTCTTTAAAAAAAAAACTTTCCTTTATTAATCTTTATCTTCAGATTTATTTCTACTCTAATTTTCAAATTTCCTTTGTGATTTTTGTAAGCTTGTTAATCTGTTAAATTACAGTGTGTTTTTGTTTAATGTATGCCCAATTCATTACTCCTCTTTTTCTCTTTAGTTAATATATATTTTCAGAGATGTAAAGTCATCTTGTTTTCACCCCAAACACACACCATCATGTCTCACAAAGCAGGTGGCATCTGAATTTGAAAGTCCAATTCCAATATTTTGCTTAAATATTTCCAAGGACGTGGGTATCAGATGTTGGGAAGGGAAAAAAAATGGACAAATACCTTTTTTCCATCAACTCCTGAGAAAAGCCCCACTTGTGTTCTGCACACATCCGGGGCTGATGATAAGAGCTCCAATTTAAGGAGGACCTTCTCTGTGGCCCTTCCTCAGTCTTAGAAGAAACCTAAGGAGGCACCATGATCAAGCTCCTGCTGTTCTCAATGCTGGTGACTGGAGGTAAAACTTATGCCTTGGGGAGGGGGGGGAGTGAGGGAAGCAGGGAGTGAAACATTTAGTGTGGTATAGCAGAAAGGAAAATCAGATTTGGAGCAGGAAAAGACTTTAGAGGTCATTGTATCCAATCTCCTCATTTTATAGATGAGGAAACTGAGGTACATAAAGGTTAAGTGACTTGCCCAGGATCACACAGTAAGAGTCTAAGGTGAGATTTTAATCAAGGTGGTCCAGTTTCAAGAGCAGCTCTTTATCCACTAATCCAGCAGTCTCAGGATCCCTTTATACCATGAAAAATTGTTGAGGACTCCTCCCCACAAAGGGCTTATGTGAATTTTGTCTATTGATATTCATCACATTAGAAATTAGAACATCAATATTATAATGAAAATAATTCTGAACTCATTGACCTCCTGAAAGGGTCTCAAAGACCACCCTTTGAGAACATATACACCAGACTGCCCCGTTTATGCCCTGCCCTCACTTACACATAAGGTACCTCAGTTCCAGAGAGGTAGTGACTTAATCCCAGTTCAAACTGGTCAGAACCAGCAGAATTCAAACCAAATTCTCTGGCTCCAAATCTAGTATCTTTCCATTACACCATGGTGCCTTAGATGAGATTTATAATCAATCAGGAGTAACCCAGTTTAAATCCCAGGCTGGTATTTACTAGCTGTGTGAACCTGAACAAATCACTCCTCTCCTTCTCTGTGCCTTAGTTTCCCCCTCTGTAAAATGGGGGTCATGATAGTACACTGCCTATGTCGAATGGCAAGGTGAGCAAAGTACTTGATGCTTTTTAATGTGTTATAGGAATGTGAATTATCACCATTCAGCCACTTTGTTCTGGGCTCTAGTCTCCCACATTACTTATCACATGGAACATCTCTTCTTGGTCATTTTCCCTTCCAGGATTCTCAGTGTTGTGGAGTATAAAGAATTGGAGAGGAGTTCCAAGGGGTCACTGGGTATCTCATCAGGGAGATGGTCAAGACCACCTCCCACTATTCCTGCTTGTCTGGGTATTCTATCATCACAGGTGTGGGGTCAGGGCCAGGGCTACATGATGTGGTTATGTGGGCCAATGGGATGACTTGGCTTGATGATATCTCTTCTGCCTTTGTTAACTCTTTCCCTGTGTTTCAGTTCTAGGCTGTGGGGTCCCTATCTACCAGCCCAAAGTAAGCAGGGTAGTTGGAGGAGAAGATGTGAGGCCTAACAGTTGGCCCTGGCAGGTCAGTAATTCCCCCCTAGCCCAGCCCTAGCTGGAATTAGGGTTAGGCAAGATGGATTGCCATCTGAGGTACCCCATAATGGTGGAGGGGGCTTTTATGAACCTTTTTATAAATGCACATATTGTTAACGGTATAAAATCCCTCAGTTATAGGGAATTATTCTGTGATAAACTAAATCACATGTGTTCCAGTAAGGTGTGGGTGTATAGTAATTGCATTAATGATTTAATTGTTTGGGATAGGAAGCAAAATGCATGGGGAAATGGGAAATGGCTGCTGTCTTCCACTGAAGGTGCAATAATGTTTAATCATAGCTTGTTCTTCTCCAGCCCCATTTTCCCAAAGCTCACAAAGAGCTCAGGGCCATCACCTAGATACGCCTTTGTATAATCAAAGATACAATAGTAGGATGGGAAGCTTCTGAGTACTGCTTCACCCTTGATCATTTGCGGGGGAGGGGCGTGAAGGGGGGAATGGGGAACCCATTAGCCCTTCCCATATAACCTTCTTGTTATGCCGTGGGGCAGCTCTAAAGCTGCCACTCCCACCACCTTTAAAAGTAGGAAGAGTATTTGGATGTGGGCAAACGTCTGATAGCTGTCATCCCCAGCTTTGCCCTCATCCCCACCAAATGATGCTGCCTCTTCCCTCCCCACTTTTCCCAGAGCTTTAAGTCATAGCACTGTGCTGATTACAGAAACCCCATGATGATTACAGATATCTCTAGATGACAGGCTTCCAAAGCCCCATCAAGCAGATCATTAATGTCAAGGAGTCTTTAATACAGAATTCCAGTAGGGCCCAATCTTCCAGGTGTCTATGTCAACTCACAGTCTTCCTCCAATTGTCCAGTCAAATCTGGGAAGTTAGCCACCAGACACTGTTAAAGCAGGAAGTCTATCAAAGGATCTCTGTGCCTGGCTTTGACCAACCTCTTTAGCTTGATTATAGATTTCCATCTATTCCTTTGCTCCTGAAGCCTGGTTATAAGCTATAACCAAGACTCTCACACATTCTTTATATTTTCCTTTGTTGGAACCTGCCTTGAATCTCTCAGGCCTGGTTTATAGCCCTGACTGCAATCTATAAACAATCTGCAATCAGATCCCAGGTTGGCTTCAGTGGTGCATGGACACAGTGTGTGTGTGTGTGTGTGTGTGTGTGTGTGTGTGTGTGTGTGTGTGTGTATGTGCAATGTAATGTAAGGTGGAATCAATTGAATAAATCAATCAAATCACCCCACCCCATTTAAAGTAATTGTCAGGATGCTAAACCCTGATACATTTATCAGGTAAAAACATATCTTAAATGCTAACTAGGTATGATTGAGGCCTGGACACCTCCTTGAATGAATCAAAGACATTCCAATTAGGTGCCCTAAGGAGTCTGCTCAGACTGAAAGAGGTCATTCCCTGAGGAGCTCATATAAAAGGCAGAGCTAGTATGGAAGAGAGGAGAGAGATTTCCAGGGTCTGGTAGTGAAGGGGAAGGAATGCGGACATCACCAGAAGAACTGGTGGCAAATGAGGAAGGGAAAGTAGGACCCAGCCATTGCAAAGAAGGAAAATGTTAAGAATCTTGACACTGAATAAGTGTCTTTGAATTGAATGATTGATTGAGCACAAAACCAGAAGTCACTAAAATTGCTGAGGGATGAGGCAGCCCTAAGCCTCAGAGGGAAGTGAATCTTATTCAGTAGAAGAAAAGAGAGAAAGCAGATGGCACCACTCTGGTGCAAGGCCTTCACCTCCTCACATCTGGACTAGTTAAATCACTTCCTGGTGGGTCTGCCTGCCTCAAGTCTCTTCAACACTCCAATCCATCCTCCATTCAGCAGCCAGACTGATCTTCTTAATGTGTAGGTCTGACCATGTCACTCACCCCTGTCAAGCTCTTCCCCCCCTTACTCTCCCTCCCCCCCCCAGCCCCTGCCAACTCAGTAAACTCCAATGTCACTTTCTGGATCAAATACAAAAGCCTCTTCTTGAAATCCAAAGCACTTCCTAACCTACCAACCTCCTGCCTTTCCAGTCTTCTTTCACCTTACTCCCCAATATGTACTCTTCCATGCACTGACACTGGCCTCTTGGCTGTTCTAACAAGACCCTCCATTTCTTGGCTCCAGGCATTTTCTCTGGCTGTCTCTCATGCCTGGAATGCTCTCCCTTCTCATCTCTGCCTACTGGCATCCCTGATCTCCTTCAAGTCCCAGCTTAGATCCCATATTCTACTGGAAACCTTTCTCAGCCCCTCTTAATCCTCTTACCTTCCCTCTGTTGATTATTTCCTATATATATGAAATAAAATATATATAAAGCTAGTTTATATATTATATATAGCTATATATAGCTAGTTTATACATTATTTCTATGCTGTCTCCTCTATTAGATTGCAAGTTCCTTGAGTGCAAGAATTGTCTTTTGTCCTTTTTTGTACCCCAGCACTTAGCACAATGCCTGGCACATAGTAGGTGCTTAATAAATGTTTTTTTGACTGACTGACCCACATAGACTTAGACTTCTCAGCAGCTTTATAGTCTGTATTTTCTACTCAGGTCTCTCTTCAATACCTTTCCAGTGGTGTATGGAGACACACCTGCGGGGGAAGTCTGATATACACGAACTGGGTACTGACTGCTGCTCACTGCATCAGGTAACTCTTCTAGAATTCCTATCCAGTCTATGTCTCCACCATTTTCAAACACTTATTTCTGGGGCTTGGGACCTCAATGATCAAACCTACATGTTTGACACAGTGTATCTGATTAACTTAAACTCTTTAAAGGACTCTTGCAAATAGGTCACTTGCCTAGAGTGATTGAATTCTGTTTGGGGGCGGGAAACAACTATTGTTTGCAACTTAGGGTACAAGTCAGTAAAAATGCTTTATTTCATTCATAGTTCCAAGCCAAGACAGAAGGAAATAACAGTTGGCACATTGAAAAGGGCATCTCTCTAGGGCAAGTAGGCTTCTGAATACAAGCCATTTCCTCACCAATATTTATAGCATGCAAAAAGCACATTGCCACGCTGGGTTCTCAACCAATTAACCATTGGGCTTGGGGGAAAATTTATGTTTCAGAAGAAGAGATAGTGACCCTAATATTAGTCTGTCATTGGCCTCAGGGGTCTGAGACAGAGCTGATTCTGTCTTTAAGTTGGCTTCTTCCATAACCAGGAGTAAAGAAAGGCAGAAAACAGTCAAATTTATAAGAATACAAGTCATTCCTCAATTGATGAATGGTCAAAGGATATGAACAGGCAGTTTTCAGAGGAAGAAATTAAAGCTATCTAGTCATATGAAAAAATGCTCTAAATCACTATTGATTAGAGAAATGCAAATCAAAACAACTCTGAGGCACTACCTCAAACCTATCAGATTGGCTAACAAAATAAAACAGGAAAATGATAAATGTTGGAGAAGATATGGGAAAAATGGAACACTAATGCATTGTTGGTGGAGTTGTGAACTGATCCAACCATTCTGGAGAGCAATTTGGAACTATGCCTAACAGGCTATAAAAATGTGCATACCCTTTGACCCAGCAATAGCATTTCTAGGGCTGTATCCCAAAGAGATCATAAAAATGGGAAAAGGACCATATTTATAGCAATATTTATAGCAGCTCTTTTTGTGGTGGCAAAGAATTGAAAATTGAGGGCATAACCATCAATTGGGGAATGAATGAACAAGTTGTGGTATATGAATGTAATGGAATACTATTGTGCTGTAAGAAATGATGAGCAAGCAGGCTTCAGAAAAACCTGGAAAATCTCATGTGAACTGATGCTGAGTGAAATGATCAGAACTAAGAGAGCATTGTACACAGTAACAACCACATCGTGCAATGACTGACTTTGATAGACTTAGCTCTTCTCAGCAATGCAAAGGTCTAAGACAACTCCAAAAGAACTCACGATGGAAAATGCTATTCACATTCAGAGAAAGAACTCTAGAATCTGAATGCAGATGGAAGCATACTATTTGCTCTTCTTTTCTTTTGTTCTTTTGTTTTGTTTCTTCTTTCTCCTGGTTCTTCTCATTAGTTCTAATTCTTCTTTACATAATGGCTAATGGAAAAATATGTTTAATATGAATGCATAAGTAGAACTTATATCAGATTGCACGCTGTCTTTGGGAGGGGGAAGGAGAGGGAGGGAAAGAAAATTTAAAACTCAAAATCTTACGGAAGTGAATATTGAAAGCTAAAAATAAATAATTTTTTTTAAAAAAAGGGAGAAAATATTTCGATTGGACTGCCCCATTTACACTGAAATGGAGGCACATTATTAAATAGTATTACTCATGTCAAAAAAGGAAAATATAGTGTTGTCCCCCTCTCTCTATCCCTGCCTCTCTCTTTCTCTCTCTTCATCTTTCTCTCTCATATTCTGTCTCTCTCTTCCTCCCTCACTCTCTTCCTCTATTCTCTCTCCCTCCCTCTTTCTCTTTCTGTCTCACTATTTCTCTCTCTCCCTCCCTCTCTCTTTCTTTCTCTTTTCTCTCTCTTTCACTCCCTTCTCCTTCTTCTTCTTCTTCTTCTTCCACTCTCTGTCTCTCTGTCTGTCTGTCACTCTCTCTGTCACTCTCTCTGTCTCTCTCTCTCTCCCCCTTGTTCCTTCACTAAAGTTCCCTTCCAATGCTTCACCTTGGTGTAGACATGGCTTTGTGTTCTTAAAGGCCATGACAGCGCACCTGCTTGGACCAGTCCTTCCAAGTTCTAGAGACTTCAAGTTTAGGGCCAAGAATGAACAGGGTGTCCATCACCTGAAAGCCAGCCAAGGCTCAGCACCAGAGCAATAGGGGGGACTTTAGAGATCATCTACCAGGAGTTCTTAACCTTCTTTGTGTCCTAGATTCCTTTGGCAGGATCTGGTGAAAGCCATGGACCCCTTCTCAGAATCGCTTTTTTAAAAGCACAAAACAAAGTACAAAAGATTTGAAACATGCTAAAATACAGTTATGAAAATCTTTTAAAAAAATAAATTCATGGTCCTCAGGTCAAGAATCCCTGGTTCTAGTCCATCTGCCTTGTTTTACACATATGGAAACAGAGGCTACAAGGAGAGAAGGGGTTTGCTCAAGGTCCCACAGCTAGTAAGTGTCAAAGCCAGAATTCAAACCCAGATCCTAAACTCCAGATTGGTCACTTTTTCCACTACAACATGACCTCATTCTGAGCAAGGCTTTTAGTTTGGAGAAACTCACTCATTGAGTCATCTCCTAGGGCAATGTTTCTCAAACAATGTGACAAAGAACCATGAAACAACCAAAGTTTTCTTTTTGTTTGTTTAATGAACTTTATGTTGTTTCTTGTTGTTGTTTAATCTTTTCAATCATGTCTGATTCTTCATAACCCTATTTGGGGTTTTCTTGGTGAAAATACTGGAGTGGTTTGCCATTTCCTTCTCTAGTTCACTTCACAGATGAAGAAACTGAGGCAAACAGTGACTAGCCCAAGGTCACACAGCTAGTGTCTGAGGCCACTTTGAATTCAGATATTCTTGATTCCAAGACCAGCTCTATCCACTGCGCCATACAATTGACTATGTTGTTTCTTAGTAAACATTAAAAAAATAATGATTTTAGAGGATTTGGTCTAGCCAAAGTTTTGGTTTTTTAATCTGAAGGCTTCTACAATGTAACCAAGTTTGAGAACCACTGTTCTGGGATATGGAAGCATTGGCAGAGGATGCACCATACCCATGAAGTCACAGGTCTTTTAAATCTTCCCCAGAATCATTGAAGAAAACCCAGGGCAAGAGCCCACCAAATAGTCTTGGTGTAAATTGTCACAATCCCTATGCTGGGCCCTTGGGAACCTGTGAGGGTCAAAGATGGGTCTTCGATGTAAAACTGCAATCCTTGTCCATGATCCTGATGACCATCACTCCTTACAGAACTGACCCTCTCATCCTCTCCCTTCTCTTTTCTGCAGCTCTTCTGGGACCTACTGAGTGTTGGTTGGGAGACAGAGTCTATCCACTGATGAAAAAGGATCTCTTGCTATCAGTGTTTCAAAAGCAGTAGTCCATGAAAACTGGAACTCTAACAAGCTCTCCAATGGGTACCTTAAGGGCATTTTCTTCTTTTGGGTTGAATTGGGAAGAGGGAAGGGGTTCTTATGGAAGGCAGTGAGGTTAAGGAAGAAACAGCTAATCTCTTGAGAAGAAGATGCCCCCTGCCTAGTGCCTTAACCTCCTAGGTTTGGAAAGGATGAACTCTAATGAGAATATATTTAGGTAATGGGAATGTATGGAAAGGAACACATGAAAATGTCTACAATAAGAGCAGTGATAGTCCCACTAGACAGACCCCAGATCACAGGTCACATCTACAGTCACATTTTAGGAAGGACATTGACAAACTGCAGCATGTCCAGATGAAAGTAACCAGATAGGAAGGAGACTGTTTAGGAAGGAGAATCACAGAATTTCAGGGTTGAGAGAGACCTCAGCAGCCAACCAATTCAAATGTTATATAGGAAAACACCCCCTGGAGAACATATACTTATTACATAAGTAGTTTTCCATTTGCTTAACTTTATGCAAGGATCACTAATCAGACTGGGAATATGCAGCTTTGAGAAAACGTTAGGGAGATGTGACCACTGTCTCCAAATAATTGAAGCATTTAATAAATGCTTTATCTATCTATCTGAAGGTCTGTGTCATGAAAGTCAGTCAACAAACATTTATTAAACCCCTACTATGTTCCAAGAACTTTGCCAAGTTCTGCAGATACAAAGAAAGGCAAAGACAGTCCCTGCCCTCACAGAGCTCACATTCTGATAGGGAAGACAAACATGTAAATAATTAGATACACGTAACATCTACACAGAATCAATGGAAAGTAATCTCAGCACTGAAAGCACTAACAGCTGGGGGGACTGGGAAAGGTTGCCTGCAGAAAATAAGACTTGTGCTCAGTCTGAAAAGAAGCCAGAGATTCTTAAAGTAGGAGTCAGGGAGGAGAGAGTGTGGATAGAGTTGTAGATAATTCCATTTAGACTCAATCTAAGAAAATACTTCCTAATGCTGAGAACTTCTCCAAAAGGAATAAACTCCTGTCCCTTAAAATCATAGTACTCTAACAACAAAAAGCTGGAGAGACCTTAGAAGCCATCTAGTATAACTCCCTCATTATATAGATGAAGAAACTGAGGCATAGAGAGATTTTTTTTAAAGTGATTTGTATACACAAGTAGTAAGTGACAGAGCCAGGATTAGAACTCAGGTCCTTTGACCTGAGCATTCTATGTCTAGGAGGTTTTCCTCTGTGACACACTGCCCCCCTGTTGTGTTGAACTTCTGGTGGTCTAGAAATTTTCAGTGGTGTCAAACTCAAAAAGAAATGGATCCCTGCCAGTGGCATATTGACTTAGAAAACCGCAAATTAACCTTATCTATGTTACACTGTATTTTTATTTATTTTTCCCAATTCCCAGTTCTTTTCCACTGTATTTCTCAATTACATTTTAATCTGGTTTGAGTTGTACTGGGGAATTTTGCTGGTCCACATGAGGCATGGCAGTTTGACACCTCTGAATGACTTCCAAGTTTCTTTTGGGTTCTGATGGTCTCTGATTTTCTAATGAGGAGTCCTTCACCAAAGATCTCTGAGCAGGGAGGACCCAAGGAAACTATGCTTTAGCCATGTCCATTTGGCCATAGCCTAAGGATAGAATTGAGAAGGAAGGGACAAGAGCCAGGGAGTCCTACTGATCTGATAGTCTCCAACTACCTTCCAAACATTCCCTCTAAGTGCTTAGAAATCACCATAACTCCAAGCCACCCATTCCAATGGCTCTGTGAGCTCATGGATTCAGGTACTTCCTTCAACAACATAGGTTGTACCTCATCCCTGCCTGATCATCATCTGTGTGGTGCATATGTGAGTGTGTGTGTGTGTGTGTGTGTGTGTGTGTGTGTATACCAGAGTTTAAATGAGGTATGACTTCATCAATCCATCCAGGATTATGAAAGAGAACACAAGATTCTGGGATGGTTGCATTTTGCTAGTGTGAACTCAGGTTAAATTGGGGAAAAGAGCTGGCCAGAATCCCACTCTCTCCAGACTTTCTCTCTTCTCTCTCCCACTCTCAGGAATGACATCGCCCTGCTCAAACTGGCCAGCTCAGTACCTCTGACTGACAAGATTCAACTAGGCTGCCTGCCTCCTGCTGGTACAATCCTGCCCAACAAATACGCTTGCTATGTCACAGGCTGGGGACGGCTGCAAAGTAAGTGGGAGCCTAGATGTGGGAAGGGGCAGCAGGATAGTTAGTGGTCAGGGACGGAAAGGAGTCAGTCCCCATCCAATCATTTGAAGGAGGTCAAAGACCTGGGAGGCTCCCTCCCCACTCTGTTGCCTGAGGCTGATGGGAGAAAAGTGACAGGAAGCAGAGGAAGCTAAAATAAGGTGGAAAAAAGGACCCCAAGATTTAGAGGTGAAAGGGGTTTGGAGAGTGTGATGTTGATCCCCATTATAAAGGGCAAGAGAGGAGGAAGTGAGCAGGTTACTAAGTAGGAGAGGTGGGGTTTGAGCCCAGATTTTCTGATAACAAACCCAGTGTCCATCCCACTAAACCACTTGGCCATAGATTGGAATCCAGAGCAGTCAATGATCTCCTAACTTTTGCCTCAGGGCCCTTGAACCCTGCAAAGGTTCTCAGGGTCCATCAACCCTTCTGCTCACTTTTCCCCCTGGCTCTGGGCTTCCCTTGTCTCCTGATATGCAATCCTGGGGTCAGGAATGCAGGTCAACCTTACTAGACAAGAAACAATTGTAGAAGGAAGATTCTACCGGAAGCACAGATATGCTAGTAAGTGTTTAAAAGCTGGCTCTCAGGGAGGGGAGAGAGGGAAAGAGGAAAGAACAAACTTAAGTTTAAGCCGTAGTATTTACATTTTCTCCAGGATTTTATTAAGTCTACACAATGAACAAAACAACAAATTTAACCCTGACGTATAGACGACATTTGCTTCTTTCCATGGTATAAATGCTCACACTGAAAATTTAGCGGTTGGCTCTCTGAAGCCAGTAGGAGCTGACTCCAGCACACTCTTGGCTGAAAGTCACCTCAGAGGCCATCAATTCTAACTCCACCATTTTCCAGACAAGGAAACAAGCCAGGGAAAGTGGAGTCACTGATCCAAGATCACCAAGTTGTAGATAATAGAGTCAGAATTTGAACCCAGGTCTTCTGACTCCAATTCAGGTCTCTTCCATTACACCTCAATACCTCCCCAGTTGAAATCATATCCATTGGGCTTACCTTAAATAAGCGTGTCTGGGGTCTAGGAAAGAGATACAAATCCTATGTCAATTACATGGCAATGAAAGGTGGCATTGAAAAGTGAAACTGAAACCAAATGTTAAGCTACTTAGCTATTAACTAAGATATAGTACAACAAATACCCACCAACGTAGTGGTAAAAGGGGAAAGAACATACACTAGTAGTAAGAAGATGGGGTTGACATCGAAACTCTGTTACTTAAGAGCTATGTGTCTTAGACAAGTCGCACCCTCAATCTGTGCCTCAGTTTCCTCACCTGTAATATGAGGGGATTAGACCACATGACTGGCTATCCCTTCCAGCTCTAAATCCTATGGTCCTCTGATCTTTGAACCTCTATTTCCTCATGTACCACATAGCCAAAAAGGGCAATAATACTTGTAAAACTTCCCTCATGAGACTGAAAACTGGAAGAGACCTCCAAGATTGGTGAGGCAGAGCAGGACAGTGGGAAGAGCATGGAACTTAGAATCAGAGGTTTTCTTTTGGGTTTTTTTTTTGTTTTCTTTGTTTATTTTTATTTTAACCAGACTTCCTGATTTCATCAGTCCTCAGGGAGCTTCTGGAGAGGAGCCTTCCTCTACTGAGGCAGATGGGCACCGTCCCAAACATTTAGAGTCATAGAGAGTTGCCTGGGGACACTCTAAACTAATGTGCCCAGAGACCCACAGTCCTGTATGTTCCTATGTCATCACCTCTTTATGCTCACTACCTGTGTGATTTTGACTAACATACACAGGCCTCAGTTTTCTCATCTGTAAAATAAGAGGGATGGACTCTAAGTTCATTTCTAGTCCTACGACTTTGAGAAAGGTAATTTGGACACAAATCCCTGCTTTGCCATACACTAGCTATAACTGTAAAGGAAGTACTTCTCTCTGAGACTCAATTTCCTCATCTGTAAAATAGAGATAACAATATTTGCACAGCCTCCCTCATGAGGCAGTTGTGAGGAAAAAACTTTTCAAACCTTATGGTGCCACAGAAATGCAAGCCACTAGTATTACAGTTGGCATTTTGTAACCTTCAAGAAAACTGTAGTGGAGACATTTGAAGGATGTTTTCCTGATCCTGGGGACCCAAAGAGCATTGGTCTTGCAGAAGATCTGGGTTCAAATCCCAGCTCCTCCCATTCACTAGCAGAGTGACTTTGGGCAGGTCCCTCTCCCTCCCTCAATTCCTTTCTTCTCATACAATCATTTGATGTTTCTATAATTTCCAGAGCACCATATTTCTCATGAGATCTCCTCCCCATGAACTCTTTCTGTCTCTGGTCTCATTTCAGCTGGTGGAGCTTTGCCAGATATCTTGCAGCAGGCTCGTTTGCTAGTGGTAGATTATGCTACCTGCTCCCTCTCCAGCTGGTGGGGCAGCTCTGTGAAAACCAACATGGTGTGTGCCAGTGGTGATGGAGTGACCTCCAGTTGCAACGTAAGTGTGGAAGATGGGCAGATCTCCCTTCTCCATACACAGCCCACACTCTGACCAGAAATTAGCCACACAACCAGGGCCATACTTGCTTCATTCCAGATAGATGAGAAGCTGGCTGGCCAGGGAATTAGAACCTGAGCCCAAAGCCTCCCTGTTTCTTAATGCCTACATGACCTTAAGCAACCTCCCTGGTTTGTTTCCTGTTTGAAAAATGAGGAAACTTGACCACAACGTCTCTGAGGTCTTTTCCATCACTACAATTATGATCCTATGAACAAGACAGGCAGTGAAAGTGGAAAGATTGCTGGAAAGATTGGGCAGACCTAGATTCAAACCCATGCAACTTATAACATGACAATTTAATCTTACAGTTAGGTGGCACAGTGGATAGAGCACTGGGTTTGGACTGAAAAAGACTCATCTTTATAAGTTCAAGTCTGACTTCAAACACTTACCAGCTGGGTGACCCTGGGCAAGTCACTTAACCCTGTTTGCCTCATGAGCTGGAGAAGGAAATAGTAAACTACTCCAATATCTTTGCCAAAAAAAATACCAAATGGGGTCACAGAGTCAGATATGACTAAATAACAACAACAAAAATTTAATCTCATTGAGCCTCAGTTTCCTCATCTGTAAAACTAGGACAATGAATGCCTATAGGATCCACCTCACAGAATTATTGGGAGGCTTCTAGGAGATATTGCGTGTAAAGTATTTCACATATATATCATACAGTCATCATTGCCATTATCAGAGTTTTTACCCTGTGATGCTGAGTAAGTCATTTATCCACTCCAAGTCTCCAGTTCTTTAACTACAAAACAAAAGGATTGGGGTAGAAGCCCTCTAAAGGCCAACTCTCAAGCTATGGTCCTAAGCCCTACATCTTGGTGTTAATGGCTGATAATGGCTTGACTAGAAATTTCCCAGAAGTATTGACATTTCAACCATATTTCCAAAGGAATGTTGAAACTTAGGCATAATGTCAGGCCTGCTGGTGAGGGAGATATTTGAGGACAAGGGACTCTTTCACACTCTCAAAGCACAGTCCTCGTCATTCTGCCCATGGGTATGTTCAGGAACCCTTTCACAATGTTGTTTGAAGGACAAAACACCTATTCCAGCCTCACTTTAGAGCCTAACCATGCTGTAGCCACTTCTGCCATTGGCTTCTCCCTTTCCAGAGCCAGAATGGTATGTAGTACAACCCAATACATCAAATAAAAATTTGTGTTGTATAGATAAGTCATGAACTTATTGGAAAAACCAACTCATATCTATTTAAGACAACCCCCCCCTAAAAAAATACCCTTCATCCAGCCTCATTAAACCTTGGGTTCCCCTTAGGGAGACTCTGGTGGCCCACTGAACTGCCAGATATCTGATGGACACTGGGAAGTGCATGGCATCGTGAGCTTTGGCTCATCACTTGGCTGCAACTACCCTCAGAAACCCTCTGTCTTCACCCGGGTCTCGAACTACAATGACTGGATCAATAAGGTAAGAGGTTTCCACTTGTTTCCCAAGGCCAGAGCCCTGCTCTGCTTCCTTGGCATAGTATGAAGACATGCATGGAAAGATGGCCATGTGAGGTCTTAAGAGCAGCCACTCTGCCTGGTGGAGAAGTAGCTCCTTCCCGATTGTTGAGAAGGAAATGAGTCATATGAAAGAACCAAAGAACATTAGAGGTAGAAGAGATCTTAGAACACAGATTGGGAGAACTCAGAGGGACCTTGAAGTAGAATATTTGGAGACTGAAAAGAACCTTAGAATATTGAATGTGAAGGCTGAAAGGGACCACAAGAACAGAGAATGTCAGAGCTGGAAGGGCCTTAGAGCACAGAAGATCAGAACTGGGAAAGACCTGAGAAAACAGAAGGTCAGAATTAGAGTGGCTCTTAGAACTCAGAATGTCAGAGGTGAGAGGACCTTTAGATCACAGAATGTCAGAACTGGGAGGGCCTTTAGAACACAGAATGTCAGAGCTGAGTGGGCCTTAGAATACAGAAGCTCAGAGGTGGGAAAGACCTTAGAAAACAGAAGGTCAGAACTGGGAGGGCCCTTAGAACACAGAATGTCAGAGCTGGGAGGGCCTTAGAATACAGAAGGTCAGGGCTGGGAGTATCCTGCCCTTTGAACACTGAATGTCTGAGCTGGGAGGGGTCTTAAGGCAGAGAATGTCAGAGCTAAAAGGGCCTTCAAAATATAAAATGTGAGAACATAAACTATTAGAAGTAAAAGTAACCTGGGATCATAAAAAGTTAAAACTTTTTAAGTTTGTTTAAGAGTTTTTAAGATCTCCTTGATAGAGGAGAAAGGGAATGAAATTCCTGGTGCAGGTTGTTATCTTGGGCTCAGAACTCTCCAGACAGTGGCAGAAAAGCCCTGATTTTCATCACCTGGGTTGCCCTCTGAACATATGAGGCAGCAAGCTTTGACTTTTGAACATTAAGAGAATTCTTGGTGGAGAAAATCAAACCAAATCATTGAAGAACTGAAATAAGGGTGGCAGACCTAAACATGTAGGAAGCTTTCAGTGAAGGAAATGACATTACAAAGTCTAAGCTTCTCCCCAGAGAAGAGTTGAGAAAATGCCCATCCCTCTACTCTCTGCAGAAGTGGGGGACTAGGGCTATGCACAACAACATATTCTGGCAGACATGGTTGAAGTGTTGATTAATTCTGCAGAACTGCTTTTTAAATTTTTGTTACAAAGAATGTCTCATAAGAAAGGGAAGTGTTGGAAAATGAATGTGATATAATCTTTTTTAAAAAAAATGAAATTGGGGGGCAGCTAGGTGGTGCAGTGTATAGATCACCAGCCCTGGATTCAGGAGGACCTGAGTTCAAATCTGGCCTCGGACACATAACACTTACTAGCTGTGTGACCCTGGGCAAGTCACTTAACCCCATTGCCTAGCCAAAAAAAAATGAAATTAGGTAAAAGATATTTAAGAAGAAAAAGAATGATCTGAGTTAGTACTTGTAGGGAACCATGGGACCAAGAGAATTTCCATGACTTGGATATTAAGGAAAAGATAAGAAGAGTAAATGAAAGTTGGAAATATTTCTTACCTACTCCTCCATCCTCTAAAAATATTAGAAATCCTCCAAGTATAGCTTCAAGCTGCCATCTTGGGACAACTGATATTGACAGACAAGTTTGTAGGGCAGAGAGCTATGAAAGTTCCTTCTTTCCTGAACTCCTCTCTTGTATCTTCCACAGGTGATAGCAAAAAACTAACCAGAGGATCCTGGGAAATGGGCCCATTGTAAAGGGAAAAGGAAATAAAATAGATATAATGAAAAACAAACTGATGCAATTGGAGTTCTTAGGCAACCATCATGTCCTTCCCCTCCAAGGACCTTGAATGAAAGTGGGTCTCTTGGGTCAAAGGCAACATTGAGATGGCACCCATGGTTTCTCACATGTTCCCCAGGCAGGCTGACTCCAACATTCCAGAGGACAAACAGATTCATACGTCAGATGAAGCTTTTTAAGAAACAATACATTAGGCAGCCAGTAACACAGGGGGAGCACCTGGAGTCAGAGGTTTAAATCTGACCTCAGATGCTTACTAGTTTTGTGACCCTGGGCAGTTGTGTAACCTCTTTCTGCCTTAGTTTCCTTAATTGTAAAATGAGAATAATAATCACCTACCTCCCAGGATTATGGTGGGGATAACATTTGTAAAGCTTAGTACTTAGCACAGTACCTGGCACATAGTAGGCACTATATAAATGTTAGGGGGGATGATGATGATGATGGTGGTGGTCGTCGTGGCAGTGGTGGTGATGGTGATGATGATGGTGATGTGATGGGGAAGATGATGGTTGTGGCGGTGATGATGATGGTGATGATGATTATGGTTACTACTGAGGAACAATGTGGTGTGGTGGAAAGAGTGCTAGGACTAGAAATGAAGGACTTTGATTTGAATCCCTGCTTTGCTCCTTAGTACTTGAGTGACTTTGGCCAAATCACTCATTCCCACTGGGTTTTAGTTTCCCCTGCCATAAAATGAGAGGGTTGGCCTAAATGATCCCAAAGGTCTAGTTGCTCTGAATTCTTTGACCTAAGAGAAGACCTGGGTTCCAGAGCCTTGGGTTCTAGTCCCAACCCCCATATTTATAAGCCATGGAACACACAACTAGCATCAAAGGCTAGAATAAAGAGGTCAAGGGAGTGCCATATGAAGTGCTCCTGATAAATGTGAGGGGGGAGAGAGTACTGGGGATGGGGGAGAGCTTCATGGAAGACATGGGACCTGAACTAAAGCCTGAAGGACAAAAATTCTCAAAGGAAGAGTGAGCAGAGATGGACTACTTCATTTCACTTCTTCAGATTTACTCTGGGGTTTCATGTAATGAAGGTTAATGGGTAAAAGAGGAAGTGTCAGGCAAGAAGGTGTTATGAATAAAAAATCTGAGAGAGAGTTTCTGGGTAATTAATAATCAACTTATTAATTAGGCTTGCTAATAATCAATAAATTGACGGTCACTGGTTTCTCTTGGCAACCAACCCCCCCCAATGACACTGAATGCCTTAAATACTTCTGTAAATAAAAAGGAATGCCCCTGAAAAGTGAAAATCAATCCTGATTGGTAGACATTTAATGTGGAGGTTGGCTAGAAGTCTTCAGCTCCTCCTGTTGATAATGTGGATTGATCATGAGACTCAGTCACCTCCAGCAAGGGGATACATCTCTATGAAGACCACTCTAGTTGGCTTTCTGCTTCATGAGCTGCGTCACCCTAAAGTTTAGTGTGGCCCTTTGACTGAATCCAAACTTCACAGAACAGATCTCCTTAATAAAAGAATTTGTTCTGTAAAACTTGGACTCAGTCCAAAGACTGCACCCAAGGACCTAGAAGGCCAGATGTGGCCTTGAGGCCCCAAGTTCCCCACCCCTGCCCTAAACTCTAACAGAGGTTTATAAGGATAGGGGCTCATCTCCTCAGGTAAGAACTAGTCCAGACTGGATTCTGGTTACACTCTAAACAGAAGTTAGGTCTCCTACTTGGGTGAGGTCCTGTCCAAGATCCAAAAGCATATTCTCTGAGGGTTAGGGTTAATCTCAATCAGCCATGTCCTGCAGAGGCTGACCCTCCACAGGAGCTGGGCCTCAATGAAGAAACAGAGGAGAAAAAGCCTGGATTCGAATTTAATAATTGGTTGTTATTATAATAGAAAAATAATTTCTCTCAAAGGTGAGGGGAAGTCTAGGATGTGCAAGATTAAAATCCAATCCCAACTTCAATGAGGACTTTGGACAAATCACTTCCCATTCTGTACCTCACCTCCTTCACCTATAAAATGGGCATGGTCACACACCTTTGTCCCCCAACTAGCCAGTCACAGTGGAGTAGACATCAACACCCATACTGATCTCCTTATCTCTCTTTTCCCATCATTGGACCTACTGCTTCTGGGAGAAAGGCCATAGAGCCAATATCTTCCTGATTGGCACTTGACAGGGCACTTTAGGGCCCATTCCTAGAAAGCACAGGGAACTTGCCTGTAGCTGCTTGCAGGCATGGAGATGGGAGACTTTGGAGGAGGAAAGAAGCACTCATTCTCAATTAGGCTTAAGAAAAAAAAAAAGCCTTTCAAGAGGAAATTAAAGTAACCAGGAATTGATTTGAACATGTCCTTGGCAGACAAGGCATTAGGTAACTGTGGAAACACACACACACAAAAAAAAAAAAAAAAACCAGAAAGGACAATGAATTAGGTAATCAGAGAGAAGCAACAAGTCCTTACGAGGATTGGAGCCTTCCTCCAATTGGTAATCTTCAAAATCAGTAAACCAAGATGCACACATGTGTTTATATATCTATGTGTGTGTATGTATGTTTCTTTGTGTGCATGTTATATAGACATATATATGTGTGTGTATGTCTATACATAGTGTCCCAAAAGTCTTTGTGTAGTTTTAAACTTATACATTATATTATTAATTATTACATTGTTGTAAAGATAGAATGCTAGATAGATGGGAGACTAACTAGATCACAGTTTAAATTACTACTGGGTCCAAGGCTGGGGCATTGCATGCTCTCCCTGTCCAGTGGTAGGAGCCCTTTTCATGGGACTCATACAATGAATAGACTGGACAGGATTCATTCAGTCCTTGGGGGAGCCTGGCTTCTAGTGAGAGAACTTGGGCTCCCTTTCTCATGCTCTTTCTCATACTTTCACACTCTATCCCTCCATCTGAGAGCTCTGAATAAAAATTATGCAAAATTTCACTTTTTATGAAGGGTCTTCCCAAAAGGGAAGGCCAAGAAGGTGTTATCTATATCATGAGTTCCACAAGCCATTGTTAAATCAGGAAGAAGTTTTTTTAACCACCTGTGAGAGCACACATGTGAGAGCACATGTCAACAGATGCATACCTTTTTATTCCCTATTCCCCATTTGAATCTCCTTACCCTGTTTCCCCATTGACTGGGTACTATAGAGGTTATACCCTGTCCAAAGTGCCTAATTTCCCCACTTGAGTCTCCACCCTTAATTACATCTCTCACGCCCCACAACTCTGCCACCACAGCCCTTAATT